CAGTAATCTATGCTGATAAACTAGAACTCTAAAGGTCAATTGCAGGCAAGTAGACAGAGATTATTCAGTAGAAGTAACTTACCACATTAGTCAAAACATACAGTGAAGTATACTGAGTGTATACCACTGCCATCTTAGCAGCTTGGGCTGCTGAGAGAAGACGATGATTTCCATCCCCAAGTAACGTCTGAAAAAATGGACAGAATAAATAATGCAGCAAATTTTTTTTTTAGAAAAACCAACTAATGAATGGAGATTGTGAGGCGGGCTTACAAAATCAATATCTGGATTAGTCTTAAAGGCATGGAAGTCCTCATTATTCATAGATACCAATATACTGGCCAGTATACAAAGGGAAGTTCCAATACCCTATAAAATAAACAGAGTTGCAGGTCAGAGGTTTATCACAGTATGTAAACTGGGCCGACTAACATCTAAACCAGGATAGTCAAACATTAAACATAAGGCCTGGGGACCAGAATCAGTGCGTCAAAGACTTCAATCTGGTCCACTGAATGGCTTTGGAAAATGTGAAGGAGGACAAAAGTTTTATATTTTAAATGTATTTTCATAGATTTTACAGCTTCATCATGGCCATTAATACAACACCAAAGTAAAACAAATACCTGATAAAAATTTAAATGACACAATCATTATCTACTATAGAAATGCAGTATTTTTACAGTGTGTTCAGAGTAAAAATAAAAGCAAAGCACATTCTGTCAATTAACAAAGATTTTCCATTTTTTTAATTACAGGAAAGTTTGTCCGATGAGCTAAAAGAATCTTTTCTGTAATTTTACACTTTTATTTCTTACAATTAAAGCACACAGCAGCATTTCTTCATCATGTAGAAGTTACCTTTCTTTTGCTGATATTCAAATATCCCAGAGATAAAATGTGTACTTAAACTTCTTTAAGCTGACACAAAGCAGAGTGTCCCACAATGTCAAATGAGTTTGACATCCCTGATTTAAACCTCAACCAACTATGCCAACTATGGCAACCAACTGATAGTATTGTCTGTGGTACCTTTTTGTCAGGTTGAGGAAGCGAGTAGTACCCAACCAAGGAAGCCCATATTAGCTCTGCAGCCTCTAACCACAGGCCTAAAACACAACACAAAGACAATAAAAAATAATCACAAAATAATGACAATTATCTTTAACGTCACAAAAGTGATCTTACCCAGCTTTTGCAAAATCGTGCCACGCACTTGAACACTCACAGCCTGCACGAGCACCCGGTCACTTTCAGAGTGGTATATCCAATGACCTGCACATAAAAGATAAAGGCACATTATTTGTTTACTTTGTGGACTCAGTTTAATCCTCAATAAATGTCCGTGAAAAGGAACAGACAGGAAACTACCTGTCGTCCCGCTGTTGTTAATCAGGCTGCTCAGGATGTACTCTGCCTTCTGCAGTTTTCCTGTGGGGCAGATAATGATTATTTACCCACGTCTGCACAAGCCTTACTTAAAATAACCCTTTAATGAAATGTGGCAAAAATAACTAAGGAGTGAGAGCCGTTCATGTGCAATTTCCAGGTTATGAGTTTACGTCAATCACTATAATTTCTCCAAACAATAAATAGCACTGCTCATCTAACATGTATCAAACAGGAGTTTATATAGTCGTTTCCAGCTCCAAATTGCTATTATTTCACTCTTAGTCCAGCACTGTCTGAAAAAAAAGCTGCTTTAGCTCTTTCACCCCTCCCTACATGCCAAACTGATCTGTTGCCCCCTGCAGACAAAAGATTTGAGCAGCTGATGGGTGGAGCTGATGGGTGGAGCTTCTGTGCTCACGGCGTAGCTGAAATGACCATATTAGACAAATCCCGTGTCACTGATATCACACAGAGATGAGAAGACAAAAAATACTTTAAAAGCATCGATCCCAATCTTTCACTGCACTGTACCCGAGTTAAAATAGACCCTGGCCTGCCGTATGACCAGCTGGGGGGCTATGGGGGTCTCGGGGTAGCGTCTGTGGAGAAGCTTGGCAATCTTCAGCAGACGGCTTGAATCATCAGTCCAGTAGAGGTAACGGTCCACTAAGAAGACAACTGCCAGTGCACAGTGTGCCTCCTCAGCTCTGATGCAGGCCTTCAGGAGATCCTGGCAGACACAGTAAACACAACGTTTGGGATTGTGCTTATGTTTTTATTTACAATGACACCACAGGGTGCCAAGCTGAATAGGCTATTGTTTAATTATTACCAGTAGTTGAGACAAGTGTTTGCTGATGAGGTCATTGAGGTTGGTTTTGTCAGCAGCGCTGACAGACTGCTTATACTGCCACTTCTCCGGTGCAAAAGGCCATTTCATGTCCATGGCTTCCTGCAGGAGAGAGGCCAGTTCGGCACACAGCGAGTCTACAGGAAATAAAACCCAGATGAGCAAACAGTATTGGGCTTAAGATACACTGATGCTTTCAAAATGTATTCACAAAAGAATATCTTTACCTAAAGTGACTACATTCAAGCTACACGGGGATTACTAGTACATAAACTGACCTCTTTATTTGAAACTTTGACCATGGTTAATATTAGCATCCACCATTAGAAAAAGTATATACAAAAAAAAAGCATGAAAGATTCACATCAACGCAACGCAACACAAGGAAAAGCTGGATTGCTGTTTAGAAATGTACTGCTGTTTGAACCAATAACAGGAAGTTCCCAAAAGGAAGACTTAATTTACTTAGACTTAGTTTAAGCTGCCTTGGACAGTTTTAGGTCTAAGATTCTAAAATAAGCAGCAAAACATCATTTATATGAAAAATCTAAATGAAATGGAGCATGTTTTGTCCCTTGTTTAGCAGTAACATGTAACAGTACGTGTGTGTTGACCCTATAAGATGCGAGACACCAGCCCGGATTAGTTAAAGGCACATGCTTAACATCACAAAGTGTCAAATTCATGCCATGGAAGCTACAGAGCTGTACAGAGCTTATGCAAGCATAATTCCACCTCACCTTTGATCCT